GTTATATTAAACATCACATAAACTTTATTTTATGTTTAAAATCTGCTAAAACCAAAAGATGTGAAGTTTGTTTTGAATTTAAGTTATGTCAGAAACAAATCTTTTTTTTATTGTAATAAAAAAAGGTTTTTAAAGTTTGCCTCTGAGCTTCATGAGGACAATAAAAGTGTCAGTGAGTAAACTTTGAGACATAAAAACTGAGTGTTTCAAGTCTTTCTACGTCTCGTGTGCAGATTTAGTTTCTGAAGATTTCAGATTATTTCAAAGTTTCATCTGAAAGCAGCAGAAAACATGAAGGAATTGAAGCTGTTTGACTGAGTTTAGTTGAACGAGTGTCGGGACGTCTGAGGACCCAACAGGACTCTGAGGGACTTTGTGTCTTCTAGAGCTGGATGAGAGATCCTTTAAGACCTGATGAGTCCTCTGAGCTGCAGGTCCACAGTCAGTCCTCAGCTGAACTTTCAGATTCACTTCACACCTTTTCTAAGCTCTTCTTTATTTGTAACATTGACTCATAAACGTCCACAGAGAACTTCATTCTCAGAGTGATRAGATGGAGACTGGGGGATCAGCAGTTTACAGGTTCAAGTTCTGCTCCCTCCAGTTTCAGATGATTTTCCACACCTTTTTAAAGCTAAAAATAGCCAGACACCTCCTGGGATTGAACCTGCAACCTTTAGATTACAGTAGTAGCCAGTCTTCTTACTGTGTATGCCACAAACACTGCTACTTATGATGCTTTAAAAAAAAAAAGAAGAAACTTGTCTTTTATTTTTGGGTGTCAGGATGTCTCAACGGTCTGAGGACTGAAAGTCTGAGAGGAAAACCTTCACCTGATCCACTTCAGACCCTCAGGAGGTCCTGAAGCCTTCCTGTTTATCTTCTGTTAATAAATCTGTCTGGTTTCTCAACAACATGTGATCCAGTCGTGATTTAACCTCCATCTTTCTGTGGTTAATTCTCTGAGACTCTTGTTACAAATTATGTCAAAAGTAGAGACTTCAAACTATACACCAGTTTTTAAAGACTGTTCCACTTCAAGAATAATAGTCATAATTTCTCCTTACCTGAGGAAAGTCTGAATTATGATCACTGCTGCTGTAGGCTATCTGGTCTGTCTCCTCCCTGACCTTGTTCTGTGGCAATGAAGATTTGTTTTAAATATGTGGAAAGCAGCCAGCACAACTTCTACACAGAAATGAAAGACGACTGGGTTTATCTAGCATTAACTAACTAGCAAGGGGTGTAACAGATAACAACATCATGTTAACTAGCTAAACATTATATAATGTGTAACTCATCATTTAGCTAACATTATCTGCCTCCAACAGCATGACTCAACTTACATGGTTTGTTTGGTAAAAACTGTGCGAAGTTTTAGTTGCTCTTTACACCGCGAGGCTCTGCTCAGACGGCGGGTGCTCAGAAGAACGTCTCCTCTCCGTCATCTGCAGGAGTAGCTTGTGGACCCTTATGGTGCGTTCAAAGACGGCTTAGGAAAACCATGACCACATGTTAATAATGGATAAAACAGCTGTAACGGCTGAGAAAAGTGCGGGGGACATAGAGCACAGATGCAGGAAGTGCGGGGACTCAGGGAGACATGTCTCACGCATATCCCACATCCATTATGTCCGTGCCTTCACTGCCCAGGGCCCTTTAGAGACCGTGGGCCCCTGGGCAATTGCCCAATTGCCCATATGGTTAATCCGGCCTTGTAGCCACACCATTATTATGAAATGTTTTTATTTTTTATTAATAGAAGAAAAAGAAGGAGAACAAAAAAAAGTGAAATGTAATGAGAAAGAGTGAAAAAGAGATTAGAAGATATGTAAAATATATGTTGAGAAAACGCAGGACAGCACACCGGACTTCTCGGCTCCACACCTACAAAACAAAGATAGCAAAACCACAGCAACAAAAATGCATAACTATGTAATTATAATGACTATAGCCTTGCTGAAAATCATACCCATATACATATATAAATTTATACATAAACCTACCCTTACCTACATATCCTAACACAATTGTCTATTTTTGTTATTGTTTATGTTAATATGTAGTTAAAGTATATGTTTATCAAATAAAGTCTAATGTTACAACTAATCGGGGATCCCTTTAAAAACCAGTGCCAACCTGTGTAACAGAACAAAGACAAAGCTGCTGATCACACCTTGAGATTGATGAGGTACAACAAAGGTGTTACTACAAGAGGCTCATATTTTTTTCCCTTTCTCTGCTATTTATTAATAGATAAAAATGCAGCGTTGAATTTTCTTGATCCATCAAACATCATGTTAATATTTCAATTTAGTAAAAAAGCATGATTGTGTGGAAACAGCAGGGATGTCAATTTGGACCTTTAAAAGATGAAAACGTTATAAAAAGTTACGTAGCAAACCATGATTTATTTTACTGATGTGTCATTTCTGTAATCAGCAAAAATGTTGAAAGCGTCTCTGAATTTTCACTTTAAGCTTAAAGCATTTTTAGAATGACACAAAACTCACTGGTTGGCGACTATAACCCACTTTAATGCTCATTAATTATGGTTTAATCAATCTCATTTGGAAATCGGAGAAAGGGAGGAGTAACATGACATTTACAAATATGAATCCAAACAAGGCCTGTGGTATGTACATCAGAAGWGTGTCATGAGATATCAGTAGTTCAGGATTTTTGTAGCACCTATTTAGTACAGAATGAACATGTGCGAGAAAGAGACAAAAAAAATTATAAAGGACATTAAAATAAAAATGTGTATAATATTTAGAAAACCCACCAAAATGGAAGGCATCATTTTTCTTTTTCGGATTGGCCAAGTTTGTGGATTCATTTCTGAAAATTAACATAGAAAAAGTACATGAATAGAAAAAGGTAGATGTTACACATAGGAATTTACTGTAGAAATTATTACATGAAATTTAAACCAATGATGGAGTCAGATTTTAGGGTTCCTACTCCCCCCCCCCCCCAATTCATTTTTTGAAGAATTAGCATGATGGCTGTTAGAAGTGCTTTTAGCTTATATGTAACAACGAATGGAGATACTTTAACTGAAAAGTTCATATAAAAAATAAGCAAAATTGACAGAATATGTAGCATGTATTCATGTGCCCAATCATGAGGGACGTTACGCATGTCCTCGATCTTTAGAGGACCTGAACGTTTCTCACATGTAGGAACCCCTGAGATAGTTTGAGTGTAAAAAGTGGTGTCACCAAATGACATAAATACACAAAGATGCCATCTGTTCACTACTTTGACACATCTTCACAAAAACATCGATGCATCCTTCAGACAAAATCTACTAGTGTTTGCATTCAACACATTTGCTCTTTTACAAATAATCTTTCAATATTTGACTAAGACTTTTTAAATACTGACTTTCCGCTACAATACATTTCTTTTTTGCCCCAAACCCCCACCCACCACCCCGCAGTTACCTCTTGCAATTTCACAAGAACACACCTTGCCCGAAATATCCTGAAGATCAACAATAGATTAAGTCCACCAAAGAGTTTCAGCTGAAAAATAAGTATCTTGTTGCTGGTTACTTGAGTTAGCAAAGTTGAAGTCCACAATAACCTCACTGCAAAGAGGCTCCTATAACCATCGATTCCTATAGAAGGAAATGAAGAACTGCGCCGTTATCGAACAAATGCAACGAGGTATGAAGTTGACGCCACCCAGAGAATTATTCATATCAAGATGGAAAAAAAGGGTGAAGAAAAACAGCAGCTGGACAAAAATAAAAGCAATAGAAACTAAAGGAAAAACACACACACCAGTATTATTAAACTTAGAAAAAAGTACAGACAAAAAAACCCAACAAACAAAACGCTTTGCTCTTTAGCGGCTGCTTGCGAGCGAGCTAAAAGCACCACTGCAAATTTATTAACTCAAAAATAGAAAACATGCGACAAAAGAGTGCTTGTGAGTCTTTTTCCTTATTCACTCCTGCCACTCTCGACGCTGAAGGAGGAAATGTTTGTCCTATAAAACGGCATTCAGAGTCCGCCTCCTTCGGCTCGCCTCCTGCTGGCTTRGCTGCCGTCAGCCGGGTTAGGAGAACAGAGTTGGGTTTTAAAACAGGGGGCTGGGGCCGTCGTCCTGAGGGAAGCGGGAATGGAGGAGGCTCTCCATGTAGGAGACGTAGCCGCTGCTGGGCGTGTAGCTGTCGGGCGTGTGCTGGGCTGGGGGTGGGCTGGGCAGGAGGGGGTCAGAGTTCAAAGCGGGCTGAACGGGGGTGGACGGAAGCGTTAGCATGGGGTCGGAGACCGGGCAAGGTTCTGGAAGCGTGTTGGGGAGGGGAACATTGGTGTCCATAGGGGTCTCTGCATCCGTCTTACTGATGGTGACAGGAGCGGGGGCTTCCCGTTTGATAGGGTGGGTCTGAGGTGTTGTGACCGGCTGCATGCCAATACTGTGGTGCTCGTGTGCTGGTGCTCCTGCTACTGTGGCAGTCTGAGGTTTAGCTGAGCTGGAGGGCAGGCGGGGGCGCTTAGCTGCTTGGGCTTCATATGCTGAGGAGACCKCTCCCTGCGGTGTAGGGATGGCCTGAAAGCAGAAAGACCAACATTTAGATCAGACCAAGAAATTCTACTGACACGTCTCCTAAAGACCCCCACATACTCGGGYGTACTTCGGTCTGCGCGGACTCGAGGCGGACTCAATGCGGACCCGAAGGGGACGACTGCCGGACTGGTCCGCGCAGAGATGAACTTTTTACGTCCGCGTTGCGCACAATGGCATGTACTGTTCTGGGTGCGACACCAAGCTGATAAAGTTGAGAATCGGTGTCATTTGTGGACGAAATGGAGTCAAATCTTGGAAAGCGTCTCACGGAGGAGATTAGAAAACTTTATGACGCGTCAATGAAGGGATGTAAAGACTTTCAGCGAGCAACAAATTTGTGGGAGGAAATTGCTCAGATCCTGGGTAAGGTAGTACTTTTCTTTTCTTTTTTCTTTTATTGTTTTAAAGCTAAAATGCAAACTATCTCTTCCTCCTAATTAGGGATGGGTACCGAATTTGATACTTTTTAAGTACAGACAGAATTCTGTCGGTATTACCGAGAACCTATTCACGTAACATCAAACGGTACCATGTTTACGTACCTAAACGCATCCTTGCGACCGTATTGAGGTAAGAGTGGTGAGATTTCCACGCTTGTCCTGAACGCAGCATTGCGCAAGAGCGTAATGACATCACCAGCCGCTGGTAAACAGAGCTCAGAACGTAGCTTGAAAGCGAGCCTCACAGCGCGCAGCTCCTGGAGTTAAAGTCGCAGAACAAACCGTCTCTGAAATATCTGGTGGATTAAYTATCTTGTGAGCATGACGTTCGCTTGCTTAAATAAAGTACTGCCACTTTATGTCATCCGCCATTAAACAGAGACCGGCAGAGGAAAACAACAGAGGTGCCTACTGACAGTCCGAACGTGTCTGACCTGAAAGAGCACAAGCAGAAGGGTTGAAGCGTTGGACGCGTTTTGGATGCTCAAACTGTAGCTTGAATACTTTTTATTTACTTTAACTCAATCCTCTTTTGATTGTTTGATTTAAACTTATTTGCCTTCCATGGACCTCCATCACACAATTTTTCTAGCGGGTAAATGACATCAATAGAAATACGTGGAGCAATAAGACAAAACAGTCTTGTTGTTTTCAAAAGTTTTCACTTTAAAGAAATAAGTTACACAACTGATGTTACAATACAAAGAGTTGGATGTTGTCTTGATATTTGTWAATTTTATATATTGAGAAATATGTAAAAAAAATAAAAATAAAAGTTTATTATTAAAAAAAAAAACAACAACACCCACAAAGTACTGAAAATTGTTACTGTTAAGTACTGGTACCAATTCCCAGATACTGGATATTGGTACCGAATTGATTCAAATGTCAAAGTTACCCATCCCCACTCCTGATCCTTGACATCATGACTGAAAGTGTGAGGAATTAAAGAATTTGTCCGACGGTCAGTACGCTCAAGTATGAAGTCTCAAACATCCGCGGACAATATGCGTGGAGTCCACGTGGCTCATGGACTGCACACAGTACACCCGAGTACGTGGGAGCCTTAACTCGTGTCTCTTGTCTTAACAAATGTGACCTGCAACAAAGTCCTCGATCTAAACTCCTTGAAAATAATTCCTCTCCTGAGACCATCATGACCACCATTTTAAAGTTTTGGCCATCGCCATCTTGGTTTAATGGAAATCATGAGTGAGGAATGTGTCAGAGGACCTAAGGACACTAATGTGGTAACGACTTCTAAATCACAAGGGAGCCTTACGCTAATGCAGCCCCTGTTTATTGTCTCATTTGCCCTAAATGGACTGTAATTTAAAAAAGAAATGAGTTTGTGACGTGGAAGACATGAAACTAGAAACTTTGGCCATAAACTCATTAAAAATGTTTAGTAAAGTAATAAAACTAGGATTGGTTTTGAAGTAAGTTTTGCACCTTGTGATCTATGAGATTCAGGCCAGATGAAACTTTTTTTTATACCCCATCTTATGTGAACAATATAAAAACTGGTCAATTAAGGCTGTGAATTCAATTTTCCTGCTAAAGCACCAAATTATGAATATTTTTATTCTATTACAAAGACTATTTTTTGTTTTGGATTTGATTTTTTCATAATTCTAAATTAACATTTATTCTTTTACTCRTTCAAATAAAGTGAGAAATAACACTGGGGGTCCAAACATTTAAAGAAAAACCTAATGATTACAAYGAATTTAAAGTGTTTTTGCTTGAAATTGTTACAAGGTTTTTCCTCAAGGGCGGTTTTATTTTTTGTCCCAAAGTATGATTTTAATGTTGAACATATTTAGTGTAGTTTAGTGTAGGAGCAGCATATCATCAGGAAAACACTCACCAGTCGGTTCCGGACCCTTTTGGGCAACTCGTGCTCAAAGTGAAAGAGTTCAGATGCTTTAAGCATCTGCTGACTTTTGTCCTGAAACTCCACCTATGTGGATAAAACAAAAGACTGGGTCAATCATCGTGTCTTCTTCTGAGAAAACAACCAGCTGCAAGGAGGAGAGAACAAAAATCTAAATGTTTGTGAAAAGTTATTCACTCGACATCCCCAGCTTAAAGAAGAAAGCATCGGTAAAAGAAACGAGCATCAAGGTTGTGAGTGAAAACCTTCAAAAATGATGCCTGAGACTTAACCTGCGACTGTCTCAGCACTGCACAAATGGTTCCATCAACAACCTCGAGCTGCTGTGAAATTATCCTTGACCACTGAACCAAAGAAGCTCGTCGACTGGATAAGTGCCTCAGTTAAGCGCTCTAAATATAAACACAGGCTTTAACAAAACTCCCTGAAAGAGGAAAAGGTCAGGGTTGTGGCTCAGATTCTGATCATCTGGGRGTACATTCTTTATCTCAACACTAAAGCTTCGCTTCTGAAAGCAGAGAAAGACTTTTTAGGATCAAGTTTTGACAGGAAACAATAATGTAATAAAGACTGACAAATCAAACAAGGACTTGAAGGATTAATATAATTTTTTAAAACTCGTTTTTAGTAACGCTGTTTACTAAATTTTCCACATTTCATATCAAAATTCACCAATGATGTGACATCTCTCTGCTTCATTTCTGGGTGCCTGATAATGCTTTACTGTCATCTTCGGGAGCATCAGAGCTTCCTGTATGTTGATTAAAATCAAATCTAGAAGCTAAATGGTAAACAAATATAACCACTGGTACCAAATAGTCCTCAAGTCATATTACACACAAAACCTTTGAATAAGTCTTCTGGTAATAAAACTGTATCTAAATGCCATTCAGTGTTATAGTAGACATGAAAAAAAGTTTAATTATTATATTTGTTTTTAATAAACTCTTAACATGTTTCAAAGTAGCAGCAGGTCAACGGCAAAATATTTGGCTTTTATCCAATAAATGCGATAGTACTTCCCCTCAGTGTTCAGATATAAGTTACCTTCTATGTACATAAACATTTTTGTCTAAAAGGTGACTCTGGATTCTATATTCAACTGTCCGGCTACAGTAACCTGAAGATGTGACAYGCAGTGTTTTCACTCACCTGATAGAGCTTGTTGGTGTGCTGTTTGACAAAAGTAGCTTTGAGGATCTGACCGTCAGGTGTGCTGACCACAAGCTGGTCGCCAACTTTGGGAGGGCCGTGGCGCAGACAGTCGTGACTCTGGAGGAAAAGAGTGAAATGAGCAAAAAAAAAAAAAAAACATTATGAAAGTACAGTGAAAGAAATCAAGCAGACATACCAGATTACAGGACCTGCTAGTATTGTTTCTATTTTAAACTGCGAGCAGGTTTTACGTGTAGTTTAAGTTGCTCAGTTTTACCTTTGCTGAAATTAAATCAAATTAAATCAATACGTATAGATCCCACATGGTTATTTGTTCAAACTCTTTGTGGGTAAAAATTAATAATTTAAGGATTTATTATTATTAAAGACCTATTTGTTGCCAAAACACTGGCATTAAGGGTTATCTACATTTTTATTAGTAACTCATTTTCAAGATGCTCAGCCTACAAAGCATAAATCAATTGCTAGGATATCTTTTTTTAAGTTTCAGCTGTGAGTTCTAGGCAGGTTAAAGCGGAAAAAAAMCACTCACTGTGACGTTTTCTGGCAGCACGTTGTCACAGTAGGAGCCGTCTTCAAAGTTGACTTCGAAGAATGTCTGTGAGGCAGCGCCGATGATGGTGCAGGGGTAGAACCAGTTGTCAGCGTTGCGGCCGATTACCTTTTTACCCAAGTCCAGAATCTGAGGAGATTTACCGGTAGGTACTACTCGGGTCTAAAAGAAGAGAAAAAAAAAAAGAATCAGATAAGAGCACAGACCAGTATTAGGAGCTGTGTTTTTCTGTAATTAATATAAAACACATTTATGATCTTCTCCTGAAATCAAATAAACACCAAAATTTATTGGTGCAATTTTAGAACTTGTAGGAAAATATGCGTTGTTCAAAATGGTATGTCTGAATAAACAGGAATCCAACTGGATTTCTTCTTAAATATTTATTCTCAATCTTGTGAGTCCAAACAGGTACAGCACTCAGCAGGCTTCAGCGTAAGGCCTTGAGATAAAAACCCAAACAAAGCAGAGCAGCTCTGCTCTGAGCAGTGACTCTTCAACAC